GTGTTACGAAAGGTAGAGAAGATGAACATGATGGCATGAAAGTTCCAGAACATGATCTCTACAAAATTAAGGAAAATCGCTTTCCATCTGATCTATAGAAAATGCTTTCTTTGAATAATATTTCACTTTCAAAACTTTTGGAGTAACGACTTCCTTCAATGTTCAGAAGTAATTATGGTTAAATTTTTAAGACGAAAGAGTAGAAGTCCATTGGAAAAAAACGCTTCTAGAAGAAATAACTGATGCTATACAACTCATTGGTTTCTCTAATATGCGATAAGCCTAGCAAATATAGCAAGTAAAGTAAATGAAATTTCCTCAAAGTTTTGCAAATGAACTCAAGCACTGAGACATTCAGCCTCTATGCTTCAGTAGTCGTTCAATGAGCTTTCCTTATTCAACAAGGGACGAGAAACATCGCTAAAAGGCGCTCAAGCATACAATTTCTTTTCTAACTCAGGTACATCGGAACGCAGTGAGAGATGTTGAACAGCCAGCTACATGTGAAAAGGAAACAAGAAAGAAGTTCCCTTGGAAAATAGACGGGACGGGGATTTTTCGAGAACAACTATGCGAAAAGTTCTTCAAGAGAAGCTGCAACTAATCGAGGTAGTGATTAAGTACTAATTAATTCACATCGATACTGCAATGTCTTCTATGAAAAAAAGGGGCATTGAGAAGGAGAAATTGCCCAATTAAGGAAGCTAAGACGTCCAGAAATCAATGAAAGACAAGTAGCAAGTCTAGGATTTCCTGCAAAAAGAAGTGATGACTAGTTGTAAAGTGAGGAGAATCAACCTCTTAGAAGATAGAAAGATTGACAGATGCAAGAGCCATCTAGAACTTTACAACATAGACATTGACTGTTCAATTGGTCAGAAAAAGTCAAACGATGACTGAGGTTTAGGGTTCTTGTCGAAAACAACTTGAACAACTTAGCTACTAACTCACAAGAGAAAACTAAGAAAAGAATCAACATCTCTCAAGGTTTCTTACAAAGTTCTTAGACC